GCTGGGAGAAGTGACCTTTGGAAATGATAGTATGTGATCATGTGAAATCTTAACTATTGCATTTCCTGGCTTGAATGCTTTGCACCATTAATTTTCTATTAACAGTTTTTTGACTTATTTCCTAGTTTTTAAATGATAAAAATTACACACGTTTTATTTACCTAGAATGCCAATACTGAAACAAGGTTTTTATTCATCTTAGCTACCAATCTTACAGTCTTGGCTACATCGGTACCCAGGAGCCAGAAGTCACCACTTTTATGTATATGATCTAAAATTCCACATGCAAGTGTGGAAACAACAACACTTTTCTTTTTTTAAAACCAACCTGGGAGCCTAATTCTGAGTCCAGTCCACATCAGATTGTCAGTGGCATTAGCTTCCTAGTGAACTGTTAATTGCTCTTTATTATATTTAAGATACTTAAAATATTTTAGTGGTTTATTCTTGGTAGCTAGATGTAGGGATTAGAAAGAAAATTACTTATAGTAACTGTTGTTCTTCAAAAATGTTGCTTCTCTATATCCATATTCCTGAGGTAAGGTGTCTGTACTGCAAGCCACTGGAATCTTCTGATGAGCAGAGTCTATTGGGGCATTTCCCTTCTAGTCAGCTCCCGCTCATGGAGGGCTCTGAGGGTATAAAAAATTAAGTGGTCCCTTATGCCTTTAAGTTCCTTCCACTAACTCAGCGATTCTCCTAAGGCTCTGGAGAAGTGGGGAAGGTGAGCAAAGAGTGTGAATATGCTAACTCAAGATTCTGGAAGAATAAGAGTTAATGTTAGGTAACTTCTCTTTCTTTAAGTAGCCTCTACATATTGAGGCTTGTGGGAGGTTAGCAAGCACCATGCCCAGTAAAGTGAGGTAATGCATTTTAAGCAAAGGACTGTAGAATTGCCAAAATGAGCATCAGCTCTGGATGGCAGGTCAAGAGTATTAGAAATGACTGATTTCACTCTCTCAGATCAGATCTCAGGTGAGAGATAAAATTAAAGCCCATATACAGCTTCAAAAGCAACTTTGCAAAATTCTATGACAAAGATGGTGCAAAGGCATCCCTTTAGATACTGAATCTGAACTTAATTGGCTACACTTTGATATCTCCTGGCAGTTGAACACCTGGCAATGGTGAGAATGATGAAATACAAATAGGTTAGTGGCCTGAAAGAGATGGAAATTGAACACGACACTAGACTGGAAAATGGGATGATGACATGAGTATACAGAGGCCACTCAAAGTAATTAATTATTCACAGTTGAATAATTTCTTCTTGACAGTTATCTAGAATGATTAGTAAATGAGACATAATATAAAGTAAGGCTGTTTAAGGCCACCACTATTATAAGCATCCATTCTAAAATACCTACTTGAGATGAAACCAAACCTTCCCCAAATATTTTGGCAATAAATGTAATCCTCCTTCAGCAGAACAATACTTTTCTTAAGCAACTATTTTTGTCTATCCTGAGAAGTTGTGCACAGTGGTTTCACTGCACCCTGCTCTACAAAGCAAAAAATTATTTCTCTAACCAGAGAAATTCCCATATACACAACTAATCTACAATATGCTGATCAGATGCAATTACACAGCACGTATCAGATATGGCAAAAGGAGACACGTTCATTAAAATGAAGAATTAGAGTGTTTAACAGAGGAATGTAGTGATGAAAGCAATGGATACATATTAAATATACATAACATACAAGTGATAGACCTACTCAATTCAATTCTGTTAGTATGAATCCTGCAATTCAATCTAACCTTTTATAGATGAGACAGGAAAGCAACTTTCTAAATTCTAACATTTGCAGTGCTTGCTGAGCCACCCAACAGCAGCTTCATCAGAACAGTGAAGGGCCCGTAGGGCACCATGAAATCTTGTCAGTTGACACTCGTCAACAACACGTGCCGTTGACTGACGGAGGCCAAAATGATAATGTGGATCATCGCACAGACCTCATGAGTAGATGTTGGATGTGCATATTCTTTGGCCAGTTTGGAATCTGTTCAGCAGTCTCCAAAGTTGACGTGGCAGGTCAAATCCAGGCGGTTGAATGGTCAGATCGGCAACAAGGAAACAATTCTAAACATCTTTAGCTGACCACTCAACGTTCCATAGTGTTGCTGCTGACAGATTCCGATCTGGCAATTGAGACCACAATGGATGCCTCAATGTAAGTCGTGCTTTGGGGTAACTGAAAATGTCCTTGTACAGTGGGAGACCTGGATTGGCACGCAGCTTTTCCACCAGTCTGGCTGTAGACTCTTTGCATTTCCCTGAGTTAGTCAAAGGAACTTAAGGGTATTTGGAGCCACTTGTTCTTTTATACCCTTAGGCCCCTCCATGAGTGGGAGAGGACTAGAAGAGAAATGGTCCCAATAAAGTCTGCTCATCAAAATAAAAGGAATTCAAAGATAAAGAAGGCATTTAAGACAATAATCTAATCTACTGCCAACTAATCTGTGTGGGGAACTGTGACCGAAAGCACCCCTGTAATTTACACCCTACACACTATTGTAATAATCTTTGTACAAAATATGCCTTATGAGGTATCATTTGAAAACTAATAACTGACGAAGAATATCACAGTGAAACATATATAGTAACATTATATGTAAAGTTATGAATTCCCCTTGTATGATGTTATTAGCATATGTTCAAAACCATATAGCCCTGACTAGATAAAAGTTGTTAAACAAGCCTATCCTAAATAAAGGAAGGTGTGTTTACCTCAGTTTAACTAGAAGTAGTAACATGGTCCTCAAAACAGAGGGGGAGGAGATGGCAGGAAACAGAACAATTTGGATTTCAGAAAACACGCATGGTAAAAGAAAGAGCATGGAGACTCCTATACCACCAGACTCCATGTAGCCTTCTATACTGCTTGGCTAACCTTTACTTTGAAGGGTAACCCTCAGAAGAATCCACTTAAAATAGTCACTGGACTATAATAGAAAGGGGAAGAAAACCTCAAGTTCTCTCTCTTTCACCTAAGAAGACAAAGGCATGAGCACTTTTGGGCCTCTGGCAGAGATCCCGATTAACAAAAGGGTAAGTCACTATCTCGCTGGAAGATTGTGGGTGGGAAAGCCATCTTAAACAAAGCCTTGAACCAAAACTTACCAGATGAAATTTTAGACTTATATATGTGTTTTCACTTTTATTTGCTTGTAATCATTTCTAACTTAATCTCATACTTGAAGTCATTTAAAATCCTATTTTTGTTGTTGTTAATAAACTTGTTTTATCTTTAAGACAATCCAGTGCTATGCTTAAATTGAACTGTTTGGTAACTCCAGTTAAAGTAGCAAACCATTGAATATTGTCTCCTTACAGGAGCAACAGATCGTATCTGAACTGTTGATGAAAGGGCTGGACAGTGCAGAACACGTTTTTGGAAAGTTTGGGACTGAGAGTGTGTTGAGGTCATCCTGAAAGCAGTAACCAAGGCTGGTGGAAGCCAGTGTAACTGGTGTGTTGCTGATTGTCTGGTGGGCCAGGACTGGAAATATACACAGACACTCAGGATCTGACCTGCATGCTTTTTTGGTTGTTTGTGAGCAGCCCAGGTTGGGACTACAACAGCAAAGCATTGTGAGGCACCCAAAGTTGTGAAGCACGCGGTGACAACCCCTTACTGGTCTGGATTGCACCCCAGAATGTGACAGGAATATCTCCCTTAAATAGAAACCTGGAAATCTAGTGTGAAGGGCACTGCTGCTGAAGAAAAAAGAGCAATGACGCTGATTCAGTGAACATCAGAATTTCATTGCAAGTAGTTTCTGTTGGTTGTGAATAATTTCTGCTGCCATAATTTATGAGTATATGTTATGTTTGTCTGATTGTTATTGTTATTTACTGTATGAGTATAAAGAATTAATTCAGACAGGAATTGGCTGCACCTATGCAGGAAGAACCACAATAGTTCCTGAAATCAGCTGTTCATAAAACACTTGAGACAATGCACAAACCACCACTTTGAAGTTCATTACCCTTGGGAGCTGGCCAAACCACTTTGACCAGGCTCAAGGGACACAGGAGAGAACAAAGAACTTGGCTGGACTTAAAGAGACACCATACCTGAAGAGAGAAGACTGGAGTATTGAGTTAAGATGAACCAGACTCCAGAGGTAAGGTAAGCCTACCTAGGACTGCAGGTAAGATAGCTATGCGTGTAGACCTTTCATTGTGTTATAATCCTTTCTTATTTTCTTATGCTTTGCTGTGTTCCTACCATTAAGATTAAACAATCTTTCATTTTAAGAAAGCTGTATGGTGTTAATCACTGGTCACAGTCCCCGGATGAATTGCTGGGGCTGAACCCAGTCAGGCTGGCTGAGCAATCACAGTTGGTGCACAGGGGGCTGTAGCTTGGAAACCCTGTCTAAGGGTACGTCTTCACTTACCGGAGGGTCCGGCGGCAGGCAATCGATGTTCTGGGATCGATTTATCGCGTCTGGTTAAGACGCAATAAATCGATCCCGGAAGTGCTCGCCGTCGACGCCGGTACTCCAGCTCGCCGAGAGGAGTACGCGGCATCGACGGGGGAGCCTTCCTGCCGCGTCTGGACCTGCGGTAAGTTCGGACTAAGGTACTTCGAATTCAGCTACGTTATTAACGTAGCTGAATTTGCGTACCTTAGTCCGAAGTGGGGGCTTAGTAGGGACCAGGCCTAAGACTAGGAGAACTGCAGAACTCCTCCCCAGAAAAGGTAAGGGCATGAGGCCTAAGACCTGAGGGGGTGCACTCAGACAGTCAAAGAAGGGGACAGAGGCACAGCTAGCCCTGTACCCATCACGTTAGAAAATGGAGAAAAACCTGCAACGCTTTAACTTACAACTCTCAATTACAGCATAACATTGGGAACTGCTCCTGAAGTATATACTGTTCAATTCTAAAGTGTAGGAAATTAAAATTCTTCATCTAAATTTAGGTAAAAAAATAAATGAAACATAATCCAAAATATTTCTTAAAGATAGTTACATTATGTATACATACCACTAAGTCTTGGTCTTGAAGCAAGTTACGAATTGCCTCATATAACATTGGTCTCATGTCAGATTTGAATTTTACAGAAATCCATTGTCCGATCAGCCAAATTACTCGCCGGCGTATTGGCTTATACCTTTAAAACAAAAAAGAATTATTGTACTAGTTTCTTACTATCCTTGTTTCTTAAACTTCTGTATTAAGAAAAACTGTTTTAGAAGAATACTGGAAGACAATGTCCAACAAACCCATTTTTCACATCTTTCCTTAAACATGACTGGTGAGAACTACACTTTTGAAGTTCTGAAGTAAAACTGCCTCACTAGCAAGCAGCATTTTCATTGAGAAAACTGCCCCTCCTCATTTATCAGGCCTTGTCTTATTACATTGTTTCACTGTGCTCCCTGTTTTTCCATGCTCCCTCTGCTCTACCAAGGACATCATCCAAAAAACTTTATTCATCCTCTTCTCCCAAACTATTTGTGTTTTCTTTCAGATCATGGCCAAACATGCTAATGTCCTTCTTTAACTGATATGCAAGGCCACCACCTTGCTGTATTCAAGTCCTTCCTTCACACCAACATCTCCCACAAAGCTTACAAAGAAATAGTTTAAGACTTCTATTTATTATATATATATTGTTTTAATCAACATTTACTCCATCATGCTGAGCTTTGTATTTACCAGATTCCATTAAAGAGAGAATCTACTCTGCATACAATAAATCAATGACAATATATTTAAAAATAACACTACCCCTTTATTATCTTGTTGTTTGCTAGGGTCAGCTATAACCCAGGAGTTTCTCCCTTTGTAAGCCCTCCTATTCCTCCTTCCCCCCTTCTAGAAAGAGATCAGCATCTTTATAATGCCCGCCAGGGTAACCAGAGGGTCCACTTGATCTGACTGATTCAGTCAGAGCCAAAGGTATAACTCATTTCGAGAGCTCATTGGCACTAGCTAAGAAGTTAGGATGAAGCACCTGAAGGCCTGATTAGAGGATTCCAGGGCCTTCTGCCTTATGAAAAGTCCTTGACAGAGGTCACAGCTCTGAGATGCTTGCCTCAGAACCTGCTGCTTGCAGCAACATTTTGAAACATGGATCCCACTGCCTGCACTCATGGTCTACAGTCAGGGCTGGTCTACACTGAAAAGTTAATTAAGCATAGCTACGTGTCGCAGGGGTGTGAAAAATCTGGTGTAGACAGCACTAGATGGACAGAAGACATGGATTACTTCCCGTCCCTATAGTAGGTCTCTAAACTGAAATGCTACCGTGACATAGCTGCAGCTGTGCCACTGTAGCGTTTTAAGTATAGACATAGCCTATGACAACTAAGGCAGTGAGCAAAAGGAAAGCCTAAGGAATACCTTATTAGAAGATTTTGACCTGCTAACGAGGAAAGAAAATTACTTTATCGCAGCACTACAGGTGTGAGAAACTCGTCTACAATCAGCATTAATTATACTTACATGCACTAGGGGCTATACTATTTAAACAAGGGTTGGCACAGTCATTTGATGCTACCAATTATCTCTTGTAAGATCAGGTCTCCACTCTGTACATAGGACTGTGCAGAAGGCACAGTGTGTGACTACCAACTCTCAGGTTTGAAGAAGAAAGTGCTGAAACGCTGGGATCCCTACTCATGCAGTGTTAGGAGGATATACTGTTAGAAGCATTAACTTTTATTTTCCTTGCTTTTTAGGTTTTGTTAGGTATGCTATCAAGAAATCTTAACTGAAAAACAATGTAGCATTTTTGTGCTGTGAGCATAACAGGTGCAGTTATATGGAACACCACTAGATGGATCAAAGAACACTATGTCCTCTGCCTCAAGTTTTATCACTCTTGTCTCTGTGTATGTATGTGTGTGTGGGTGGGGGGGGGGGGGGTGGGGGTGGG